ATATATTTGTGACTATAAATTATAGAACAAAAGTAATGCAATAGTAAAACATAAGCAAACCTTTTGGTATCTATTTTAATAGCAACAAAACTGTCATTAGATGCTTCGGTCACTTTCTCATCTTCCCAACTTGCAGCCATCTGTGTAGACTGTTCATCATCACCTGTAAAACATTTCAAGGATTGTTAAAGCATAAAACCAGGATTTTGTGAATGTAAATTCTCTTCACTAAAAAAACTGGAACTTCAACTGGGTGGGGTGGTTCACGCCTGTAATCCCAGCACTCGGGAGGCTGAGGCAGGAGGATCGCTGTGAGTTCAAGACCCACCTGGATTATATAGTGGGTTCCAGGTCAGTCTCAACTACATAGTGAGACATCGTCTCAAAACAAACAAACAAAAGACCCCCAAAACAACAAAAAACACAACAAAACAGAAACAAAATGGAATTTCAAATAAAGTACAATTCACAAATACTATTTTCTACCAAATTTGAAAACTGTTTTTTCCAGGGCTAGGAAAGTAGCTCAGTGGCAGAAAGGATGCCTAACATATGCAATACCCTGGGGTTAGACCCCCAGCCCCATGGGAGGAGGGGACGACAATTATTTCCATAAAATTAGAAGTGTGACTAAATACACCATTCACCTAATAAAGAGCAATGAAAAACAAAATACTGCAATACAGATATCACACATTTTTCTAAAAAGATATCCAAATTATAATTCCAATAATAAGTCACGTGTAGAAATGTACAACACCAATTCTGCCTTTTGTTCATACGATTTAGAAAATAAAAGTGCAATATTCTTTATATACCACCTTTCTGTTGTGTTCAACATCTCAACACCACACAGCATTTAATCTCCAAAGTTCTTTCAAGCTACAGAGGCAAGTGCAATTCTGTTTGTAGTTTAGGATCTGCCTTTTATTATAGGTACGCTAATTGTAAAGGTTATGCTTATCTAAAACTAATCTATGGTATTACATAATTATGAGGCAAGGAGTACTGACTGCAAAAAAGCAAGTCTAAAAGCACCACCACCTGGAGGACTGGAAATGTTCTACATCCTGATCTAGATGAAAGATACACAAGTGTATTTATACGTAAAACTTCACCAAGCTGTTCATTTAATATACATGTTATATCAAAAAAAATTTTTTTGTAGGGCGTAGTGGCACAAGCCTGTAATCCCAGCACTCGGGAGGCTGAGGCAGGAGGATCGCTGTGAGTTCAAGACCAGCTTGAGCTAGATAGTGAGTTCCAGCTCAGTCTCAACTACATAGTGAGACCCTGTCTCAAAAAACAAACAAACAAAATTTTTTAAAAATTGTACCTATCCAAGATCCCAATGATGAATGTAACTGTACTGTATAATTAAAAAGTACCAATAAACTCAATAAAAAAAAGTTGTACCTATCAAAAGACTATTTCAAGTTTATACCCAGATCTAGACTCTCATATCTTTGCTCACTTACTGGTGGGCAGAGGGCAACTTGAAGAATTTCGAAGATTAGCAGAGCTACGTGCCTTCTCAAAGGTGAGTAATCTTTGTCAATTTATAAAATTTAAAAAAATGTTTTCAGATAGTTTATTTTTAAAAAATGAGGTCATTGCTGGGGATTTGGCTCAGTGGTTCAGCCACCTAAAAGCACAAGGGCCCAAGTTCAAACCCTGGTACCAAAAAACAAAACAAAACAAAAAACCCAAAAATAAGGTCATGATTCACCCTCTATTTAAGCAGCTTTCTTCCTGGGTACACCATTCTTATCCAATTTAATTTAACTACTGCCTTCCTCATTTCAATTATCTGTTTATGGTAACTCCATCTTTTCAGTTCTCAGGTCAAAGGACTTAGAGTTAATCAAGTGCAATGCTAAATGCCTATAGTCCTAGCTATATAGGATAGGTAATTTGAGCAAAGATGTAAGGGAATTTCTTTTATTTGGTCAAATTAAAGGCCAAAGTCTTCATAACAGCCTTCTGGGTTGTACACACCAGGCTCCCAATTACTGCTCTGAATGCATTTCCTTATACTGCACTTTTTTGCAATTCCTTCCTATTCCTCAGATAAGAAAGAAACTCCAGCTTTATGGCTTTTGTAAGAGTTTTCTTTGCTTTGATGTTCTTCTTTCAAATATAGTGGTATCTCAGTTCATGATAACTTTTTTTGCCAACAGAATAATCTGGCAAAATTTTGTTGTTTTTTGCAAACTCTACATCAGGTGACAAACATGACCACAGCCATCTTTCAGAATCATGGAAATGAATTAAATTCATGAACAAAATACCACTGTATCTACATGGTAAACTCTCAATTCCCTTTTTGTTTTGTTTTGGTACCGCAGATTGAACTCAGGTCTTTGTGCTTGCAAGGCAGGCCACCGAACAGCTGAGCTAAATACCCGGCCCTCAATTCCCTTTTTAATTCCCACCTGATGGAACTGTTCCCAGCAAGCCACCTGATGGGACAGTTATGCATATACTGATTCAACCAGTGGGAACATATATGTTCAAATCAAAGCAGCCCAGCAGCAAGACAAACAAATTACAGTCCCATTGTGAATGTGTTAAATCTTTGCTCAAATTACTACTTTCTCAGTAAAGCTATGGGTTGGGGATAGAGCTCAGTGGTTGAGCCACCTGAGTTTGATCCCTGGTACCAAAAACAAACCACAAACAAAGTCAGTAAAGCCATCCCTAATCATTCACCCTAAAATTGTAACCTCGGGATACTCCCAAAGCTCCCTTTTCTCTTTTTCTTTTTCTGTATTACTTAACACTTTCTAACATACTATTTAATTATGTTTACTTTTTTTTTCTCTCCTAGGCAGAAAAAATGTTTCATGAGGGCGAGAACCGTTTACCATGTTACAAAAAAGACAAAATCCCTACAAGAGCACCAGGAATACATAAGCACCTAGCATAGTACCCACTAAGTATTCTGTGGAATGAATACCTAAATGTCAGGTACACTATAGTATGTATCTTGGCCTGCCTACAATACTTGACGCTAGTGCTGTGAATCTGAATGTATTTTGCGTGAGGTGGGATGCAGGAATTCCAGTGATATGAGTTTGAGAAATCTGGCCAAGAAGTAGAATTAATCCACAGACAAAACTAAAATACCCCTTTTTGTAGACTCTCAGATGTAGAGTGAAAGATTACTGTTTGTGAGTGATAGAATTCTGAATGTATTTTCAGAGATCATTAGGTTGAGAAGATAAAATTCCAAGTAAATGATTCAATAATCAACCTGGAAAATATGGGAATATTCTTACAACATACATTGTGAATTGTTTTCACTCTTTCTTTCAAATATTCACTATTTCACAGTTTTGTTTTACATGCTAAATATAAAAACAAATGAAACACCGCCCCCTTCATGGAGTTTAAAATGTAATGGTACTGGGCTGGGGATTTGTGCTGCCTGCCTCACAAGCCCTAGGTTCCGAGTTCGATCTCCAGTACCCCCCAAATCTAATGGTATAAAAAAATTTTAAACAGGCAGACAATTATAAATATGTAGTAATAAATAATATGAAAAAACTACTATGAGAAAGTAACAAAGAAAAAATTCCTTATAACAGTCAAGAAGCTTTCTCTGAGAAGGCAGTTAAGGTAAGACCTAGAGAATGTAAGTTGAGCCACACCAAGCACCAGAAAAGTTCAGAAAACAGAAGGAATACAAATGTATGGAAAGGTCTCTGAGACTAGGAATGTCATGAACAACAGGGAACAATCAAAGAAACCAGAGTTAAAAAGGCAAAGATGACTCCCACATTTATGGCTTTTACATCTGGATATACAGTAGTGCCACTTATTTAGAAATACAAGAAGGGGAGGAAAAACAGACTTAGGCAAAAAATATACTTTTAGGCTTGAGAATCAATCCTGCGAGGGATCTAAATGGGGATGTCATATAAGTAGCTGAAAATATGGCATTAATTCTTGGGAGGTTGTTTTTACTCCTTCACCATGTGCTCTAAATCCCAAACCACATCCTTACTGCTGGTGTCTTTCCATGACTCAGCCTTGTGGGGGCAGCAGCTGCTATGCCAGCAGAGTAAACAGCTGAATGGAATTCTCAACTCAGTGAGTTTCCTCAACACATTCACAACAGGGCTGTAATTCGTATTCCTCACTGCCAGGAGGCTCTAATTCGAACACGCTGTTTGCTGGTTTGAGATACCAGTGGCATATGCATGACTACTGCATTAGGCAGGATGGGACAGTCACGTGTGTAGCTGTGTAGCCACCAGTGATTACTTACTATCCAGTGTGATTACCAATGATCAACTTTAGTATCTTTAGTTTAAATTAAAGTTAAAATTCTCAGCCACCCAATCAAGTTGGGTAGGCATAAAATCTTAGGAGAAAACATTGTACCTTTGGCAGTAGCAGCAATATTCAAAGTGAAAGCACTTGGTATCAACAGTGTTTAAAACAAAAATGCTTAAAGAGAAGAGCACAAACTGAAGCAGAGTTCACACCCTTCTACCGCCAGCCCTTCCAACCTAAAAAAAAAAAAAAAAAAAACTCAGCTGTTCAAAATTTAAAGGCTAAAGTGGTTGTGGGGGGCGCATGCCTGTAACCCCAGCACTTAGGAGGCTGAGGCAGAAGGATTACTGCAAGTTTGAGGCCAGCCTGAACTACAGTGAGACCCTTTCTCAAAAAAAAATAAAACCCAAATGTAAAGGCATCATGTTCTATATTAACCAAAACAGGCAATAAAGTGATGTCTGACGCTAACAGATTTTAGTAAGCTTCACAATATCAATCAGTGGAGAGACACCTTTGCTTTAGACTTTTTGTCAGATTATTCCACTAAAACCAAATCATCTTGTTTTACTTCCTTCAATTTAAACAATTACAATAAAAAATCTTTGTTAATTTGCTTGAAGTAGAAATAATCTCTAACCTCAATTCTACAATATTATTTAATTCATCCACGATAATTTCATTAAATAAAGCAAAATGACACGTGTCTGTAGTGTGAGGCAGGAGAATACAGAAATTTGAGACCAGCTTGGGCAACAGAGCAAGACACAGTCTCTCAAAAAAGAATTAAAAAATAAATGAATACCAACTTGCCTAAAAGGGTTTCCACTAGAACTGTTCTATGAACCAAACTGTACTATTGAGACTTTTCAGACACCGGGC